CCGGTCATCCAATCCGTAGTTTGACACAACACTAACCAACCCCGAAACATATTAGTTCGTGCAGCCTTCTGAAAATAATGCCTGCTTACGTTTACAGTGTGTGCAAGTAATGACAGTTTGAACGAGAGGGATGTGTTTGCTATGGTTAGTAAACACTTGTGCGTGGTGGAGTATGCATGGCGTGATGTCATGTACGTCTAACTCTATCCTTCCCTTGTGTCTTTCTGCTGCTGTCTCGGTGGTGTTGAATAAATTACTGCACCTCGTCAGGTCTGAGCGCTACTGCCGGTCATTGCGACTGAGGTCGTCCGAGAACCAACCTACACTTGACCGCAGGAGTGGTGTAAGGCCACAGCAGGTCGTGTCTTATGCTTTATCTCTGTCATCGCAGTTTCTACCAGACTAGACGGCTCATCACCCCAGACGACAGTCATCAGCGAAAATTTTGCAGGGGAGTGCTTCGAAACTTTTCGGTTGTGGGGAACTTCTTGACTAGCTGAGCGACTGTTAGATTTCAAGAATAACTCCTCCGTGGAGTTGGTTTGTTCACTTAAACACAGTTTTGGTAGATGTAACTCATGTCGTAAGTGATTTATATAATCGAAAATATTAAGGGTTCTACATCTAGTGTCACTTATAATTTTAATGAGATCGTATGCTAATCGAAAATATTAAGGGTTCTACAACTAGTCTCACTTATAATTTTAATGAGATCGTATGTTTGTTATATATTCGTTAAATCCTCGGGAGATGTGAAAACGTATCTCATAATGTGTACGTTTGATGACTGCAATCCAAATTTATACTTGTTTGGATTTTATTTGGGTGGGCATGACAATAAAAAGGTAAAATTATTTGCCAGGGTGCAAGGTTTACTTGGTTATACCCATTGAAGTCGAAGTTCGTCTAAATAATTCAGTCCGGACCTCAAAGAAAATTCTTCTTCGTCACGAAAATTATCTAGTTAATGCTGTTTAAGGACGTAATTGCTGTTTACATTGAAAATCGTAGAAACCCATAAATATAAAATGAAGAATTGCTAATTGTTTGTTGAAGCACGTAGGGCAAAAAGTTTCCATTGGGCTTTAAAGGGTTTGAAGGAGACGTGCAGCGTTTTAGCATTGAAGACGTATAGTGTAGGAACATGGGACGTGGGGCTGAGGTGGGGATGTATGTGGGAAAAGTGCCATCACAACGAATGAGCTGGTTTTGGGGAGACTTTTGCTCACTTGGACGACAAGGAATATTTTATCGCGTACCTTCCCGTGTCGACGCCGCTTCGAAGTGCCGTCGCGTTCCATCCATCCGTTCCTCCCTCTACACCTCCCACACCCATTCAGCGAACGTGTCGGCTTCACTTCCTCGACGTGGGAGTAGATGGATATTTTATCATCATTGACAGCTATGTCAAAAGGCGGAATAACAGGTATTAACTTCTTTACTGAAGTACATTGTTAGTTAAACTGTATCGACTGACAGAAGAGCTTTATCGGAGGGTGAAATGTATTTCACCTGCCAGGGGTGTAACCGTATTCGAATTGTCTCTACCGTAGAACGGTAATTTCGCAAAATTGTGTTTGTGTGACTCGTAAACTAAGTGAATCTCGATTTTCTCAAGGCTTTCTCAGTGTCTGTCGTAGGAATGCAAGAGACTGCTTTAACACGTACCTAAAAAAATACATAATACAAAAAAATCAACACTTCCCCAGTACGATTTTTTTTTGTTTGTGAAAATAATAGGTGTTTACATTGAGAATTGTACGAAACGGAGGAAAGCTGAGTTATATTTATTTTTAGTTGCACTAAATCAGAAAAGAGATATTAGAAACGTTCGTCCATCGAAGTATATACAATGTAAAAAATGACGGAAATTCATGTTGTGGTGGTTTTATCTTTACAGCGTAATCAGTGGTTAATTTCGATTTTTAACGAGCAGAAGCATTGTAGGTCTGGGATATTTCATTTGTGAACCACACATCCAGTTCAACTGTTCTACCAAGTCTTGTGTTTCTAGAATTTCTAGAAGCTCACCTATTCTGTTCAAGTAATAAAGTATCCTTCGTGTATAGTAGCCAGTCGCTATTCAGTAAGGTCTGCACGCCAACGAAACTGGGAAATGTCTGGATAGACTACACACAAAAAGACGCAGATGTTAAATCCTGTGATGTTCTCTGACCTCTCTCACAGGTCGGATTAGGTCAGAGAGAAGCAAGATGATAAATAGGGTTAAAATGCGGTGGGGTGGGGTGGGGGGATCGTTGAAGTTGGATTTAGGGATGGGGTTATTTCGCATGGGGACCGACTCCCTCTCTTCTCGTGCATCTAACTCCATGGTCG